AGGGACTTAGGGCCGACGACTGACGGGGAATGATTTGGTGAAAAGCTTGCGTTCGGTGAAGGGTTTATTATCTTATCTTAAGCATCATTTTGCTTCTGTCTATGGCATTGTTTAGGTAAATTAGGCCTGGCTAGGCATAAGCCACACAGATGGACAGTTTGATCTTTATGGAGCGGTTAAAATGATGTACATGAGATGAAAAGAAGAAGCGAATCATGGGGCGCTGCGTTTTTGCACCTAGATGCTTCAGGGGGTAAACAGTAAAATCGTTTAAAATAACAAAAAGGATAAAAAAAACACATATTTTTGTGGTGCAAGATGGTCGACTGCGTGATGCCCGTGCAAAATTTAGTGGAGTTTGCACTTTTAAGGAGCTCGTTGCGAAAAGGATAAATGTCAGGCATGTAAGAAAGTTGAAAAAAAAAACCGCATTGTTCATAGCCGATCTTGTCTTTTTCTTGGCGCGAGCTCCTCGAATGTCTTTTGTCCATGAATTTTTGCACACACCTGCGCACTCAAGCATCTTTCATGCAATTTTTTTACCATTTATTGCGATTTTCCATTCACCGAGTATAGATGATCCCGAACTCGAATTGAATTATCCTGAATCGCGAGGCAAAACTGGTCGCTAAGTTGTGGTCTAAAAAGAATGACAATTCCCTTATGTTTTACACATGCGCTCGACTATGATGTATGGAGAGTGCCTATCTGAAACATATGAACTCAACCAACCGAGCCTCAGTTGATTAGGTTCCTCTGCCTAGCCGAATTCAAGTCTTAGAGTTGGCAAGTGCTCACATTTTCTGTCTTTATTCCGAATTTCACGGTGTTGCTCTTTCGTTGGAAGATGGCATTCCCGTTGGGACTACCGGGTGCCTATGCCGGATTCGTCAATCTCAAATTCTTGGAACCGGGAGGCGATGGTCGAAGGGCGGTGTGATGTCGTTGAAGACTCAGGGGGGGGCCTCCTAGCACCAAACCACTCATAAAATAAGCATGATGAGGGAGTTCATAGCCCTTCCCATGGATGCAAGTAATCCCCGAAGCACCAGGTCCCCAAGTCTTGATCGTTGGCAGATTATTTCACGAATTAGTTTGACTTTCTTAAGGGTCTCACACAAGTGGATCTTTTCCCTAGTATCAATGGTGATTTTGTCCATCTTCAAGCACTCAAAGTCCAGTCTTCAATGTGCGTGGCGCGACTGGGTATCATCGGATGACCAACACGTTGAACAAGAGCCCCCTTTCCCCTCTCACGACCTAGTCATCTCTTGCGGGTGTCCGACCGCGCCCCCGTCTCCCTCTCCCTCAGAACCTTCCCACACTCCCTCTCTCCTCGCCATCATCGGCGTGCGTTGCTGGGCTCGACCCGAGCGGCGATGGCGGCGGCCCACTGCATTTCCCTTCCCAGAGATGCTCCTGCGTGGGACGGAGCGGATCTAGGTGGTGCTCCCAGGTGGCAATGGTCCCACGCGGTGGCGGGGCGACCTGGCGCTGGCGCGGGTGGTCGGCTGCACGACAGCACGATCATTGGCAGCGAAGCTACACGGAGGCGTGGGCTAGCAGCACCCGCTCGTCCAAGATCTGGGCCCCTTTGGGCCCCATCTAGGCTGGGGCGGGCCGACGGCTTCTATGTCGGTGACGTAGCTACCTTGAGGTGGAGGTGGGGGATCGGGGGTCTGGGTGGTGGCAGCGTTGTCGCCGCTTGCTGCAGCGTGGCAGCGGAGGCTTTGCGGGCCAGATCTGGGCCTGGGAGGCCTAGTGTGCCCCTGCTGCCGCGTCCATCCGGCTACCAGGACGATGCTGTACGTAGTGACCTACCACGCAACGGCGGTGGAGGCAGTTCCCTCTCGTGCGGCCTCAGTGCTGCCGCCGCTGTTTCCTTGCGCTCCCATTTTCCGTCCTCTAGGCCTCGCGATGGTGACTACGGTGAGATGGTGAGGGTAGCGTCAAGACCGTGGTGGAGCATGCTAGTGGGTGTCAAGCTGGATGGAAGGCTCCAGAGTGACTAGGTAGTGGTGCTCTGGGGTTGAGAGAAATCCCTGTTGGCTCGTCTGGCACCGACACGGTGACGCCTGCGAGTACCACCATTCCTTCCTGAAGGGCGTCGGATATTCCCATTCCCCATTTCTTCCCGCGTGTCGGGGGAAACCCTAGGACATGTCCGGGCAGCAGCGTCGTCGTCGTCGCACACCTTCTTGAATGTGTTGCTTGGTATGTGGTGTTTCAAAGTGCTAGGAATGGTGGGACTACTCTGGAGGGCGCAACAGTGATGGGTCATCCACGTTTCGTCGAGCTGCCATTGTTGGTATTTGTTTCTCTTTTCCTTCTATTTTCTTTTGGGCTTGATGTGTTGTTGGCCCCAACAAATGTTCCATGTGGTTGCTATATCTATAATATCTAAGAAGTTGGTCCCAATTCTCTCAACATGCAAAGTGTCCACCTCAATGTCCCACTAAGCAATGCATTATGTTATTTCTCTTGACTTGCAGCCTATCCACCTCATCAATCCTGCCACGTCACATTTGTTTTTGCCCCATTGAAATCGTGTGACTTAATTTTTGTTTTTTCAGTACATAGCCTTTAGTGGTCATTGAAGCGAACAATCATTTGCACTTTCACCTTCAGTAACCAATGAGTCAATCCGGAACCGAGAAAAGGGGACATACCAATATTAGTCACAAACTGACATGTGGTTGCTATATTAATATAGCGGGGCGCAACCCTATTTGGAGAGACTGTGTATCAGCATGAAGTATCTTCTAACAATTAATCTACGTGTGGTATCTTCTAACAGTTAATCTAAGCGCAAGAGATAAAGCTTGAACCGGTATCTCTCCTAGCCTCCCAACCCGTCGCTGGCCACTCTGGCCCCAGCGGCCACCAACCCGGTGTGGCCTCCTTGGCCACGTCTTCCACCGCTCTCTGCCGTCAATCACTCCGACCACGACAGCCACAATTCTCGGCCCGACGATTGTCAATCACATTTCTCCAAGATGTCCCTAGCAGATCTAGATTTCGACAAAGGTCAAGACTTTGCTGCCAACACCTGGCACAAATGGGGAGTTCCAATCAACTATGAAGAAGGTAAAGACATGGGCGAATTTCTCCTGGTTGCTGAATTCATAAGATCGTAGCTCGGGTTGACAGAATCTATGGTGGGTATGATTCTGTTATCCTGCTTTGGTGGCCGTGCATCTATGTACAAGGTGAAGCTTTTGCAAAACTGGTCCTTCAAGTTCTCAGTATCATCTAAGGAAGTGGGTTTTTCTATCATTAAACAAGGTAACATTGCTTTGTCATTGCTCAATATCAATTTCTTACTCTAGGAAGTGGTGGCCCAAATTCTAGTTGGGAGTTGGATCAATATCTCGAGGAAAAAGAGGATGCATGGACTCATGTGTTCAAAAGGCATCCGAGAAAAACATATCTTGATGCTCTCAGATCTCCTGGCATTTTCTTAGAAAAATCACCCATGCAGGCCAGATCTACTAGTGTTCATGTTCATAATTCAAATCAGGCACCATCATCGGGCCATAATGGTGGCCATGAGGGCTCGGCTAATGCGACAGTTACATCGACTCGGGCGGGATCTCAACATTTTTAAAATCGGTCACAAGGCCCATTTTGCGTTCGATGTCTTTTACATGGGCATGTCAGGCCGAACTGCACCATACAGATTAAATGTAGAACATGTAAGAAATGGGGCCATATTTCTCGGGACTGCTACTCATCATCCCATCCCAACTTCTCTTGTGAGTCCACTCCTCTCCCAAACCCGGCTACTCATATTCTGAGGCAGGACTCCACTGTTCCCGCGACTGAGACGAAAAGGGCCGTCAATCAGCTGACCAGTCATAATGTTTCCACTCCCCCTGCTACTTACGAAAGTAGGTAGCATCCATTACGCTGGTGCCTCGCCTTCCATTGCTCAACGCCTGCTTTCCGCTACTGCACACCCGCCCTCCACCCATCTCACCCTACCTCCCATTGCTACCACCACTAGCCTCGCCGCTCATGGTGTGTCAATGATGGTCAGTTTCCCGTCCGACCCTGCTCCATTCCTCCCTCAAACCACGTCGGAGTGGCCGTTGCAGGCAGACCATCGAGGGTTCGCATTGTGACCACAACACCTCCTCTAATGCATGAAGATTGGGCGATTGTCTCTATTGACCCAATACCAGATCTTTCGGTGGATTTCAATACTGTTTGTGAGGTAGTTTCTGATTTCTTTGTGGACAAACAGTTGGGGTTTTCTGAGATCACGCAATGTCCTTTTGGTCAAGCATATGTCAAGATGCAAAGTGTTTTTGATCGTGATGAATTGGTAGCCAATAGTCCCCACCAGTATACTGATGTGCATGTCATATTTGAGAAACACAACCGAGGATTGAATTGGAGGAGATTAGATCTGAACAGATAAGCATGGTTTTTACTGTGTGGTTGTCCTTTTGATAGAAGAAATATTCAGGAAATCAACAATGCTGTCAGTAAATTTGGTAAGTTTGTTATGTGGGATAGTCAGAAGCACTAGAGCTAATCAGATGGTTAAGGTGAAGGTGGAGGAGCTGACAGATATACCAGCTAGTATTGTCTTTGGTGATGCTGATCACATTGACTCTCTTAATGTCTCTGTAGTCATTCTTCAGCATCAGATCCTTGGAGTAGAGCCACCAGATGAAGACCCCATTCATCCTAATGGCAACCCACACCCTGCTCCTCAGCAAGAAAACTTCCACCCAAATCAACATATATCACTTCTTGGGACCCATTCAACAAGATGAAGTACCTGCTCATCACAATCATCATCAGGCTAATCCAGTTGATCTGCAACTTGCACTCAATAATGGAATGAATGTGGAGCCATAGAACCTGAATGATCTTGATGAGACAGAGGAGGATCTGCCTGGACGGAGGCATTGGGCTATGCCTCAGAACAACCAGATTGATCATGAGTTACATCAGGGAGAGTTCTGCAGTTGGATGATCTTATGGCACCAATGGAGGAGGGAGAGTTGCCTGCTGGCAATATGGATGGAGATAGTAACATTACCATTTCTCTGGGTTACCCTGGCAGTGCCAACTCTGTTTCCTATGCTAATGGTCTCGTGGCGCCACTAGAAGGAGGTATCCCAGATTTGAATGAGTTACTTGGGCCCATTGTAAATGGCCCAGCTCCGGAAGCCCATGTGCCACTGGTACCTCAGGTGATTGAACCAGTTCAGCCTGCACTTGAGGAGGGCCTAGTAAATGCTCTTATCAATATCAATCGGCCCAGTGTGGGTCACAGCATGGGACTTCTTCCACAACAGATTGTCCCTCATTATTCTGACATCTCAGTGGATCCTATGCAACTTGAATTACTAGCCAATGCTAATTATCAACCAACAGCTCCAACATTACAGGCTAATCTAGTTAATCAGGCTAATCCAGTGGCAGGTAGTACTTCTGCACAGAAAACTTTATGTGAAGATCAGAATGCAGCACCTAAAGAGACTGACCAAGTGGAAGGGATACCTGAAGATTCTAACTCAGGTGAGCATGTTCCTAACATGTCTGCACCACCTGGGTTTCCTATTCCAGCATATCTTAATGAGCCCCACACTATTCAATTAGGGGGACAACACAGTAAACTCCAAGGGACACAGATTATACAACAAAGTCTTCTGACAGAGGAGGAACAACACTTGGGCATAGAGGGAGCCAGAGTTTGGAGGGAGCCTTTTGCACCAAGTCCTAATAGCAATGAGGTGATTCAAGTTCTTGTTGATTGGGCCAATTTTCTTTCAGTGGTATTGCTCACACCTGGGAAATTTGCATGGGCAAAGCAATTTATTAATTCTCAAGTCTGGGAGATTATCACACGGGGCTCTACTTGTCTTTATACCTTGCCATTTGCTATCCCACAATCATGCTCTACTGAGAATACTCTCTGTACTCTCTCTCAGCAGCTGCATGACAAGATGGAGCAGGAAGCCAGTTCTCCTCTACCAACTGCATCTACAGACTCCATTACTGCATCCTCTACATCTGCACTTCAGAAAAACAGAAAGAGGAAGGACAAGGCACCATTGGTTGAAACTGAGGTATGGAGGAGTTGTAGACTTAAGCAGTTGGCCAAGGGGTTTAAGAAAAGCTCTTGTACAAACAGAAACTACATCTCGTGTGATGCTTTACCACCTCTTATACTTGCAAAAGTAGTTACTTAATACTACTTTTTTCAAGGTCAACGAGAAGGACACCACTGAGGAGCAGCCGCAGACTAAGAATAAGAAGAGCAAGAGCTCCAACCCAGCTAAGGAGCACATCAGGAAGACTGCGGCTTCCAAGGATAGCTCCAAGGCTACCTAGAGGGATGTGCATCAGGGCATAAGTTCTGTCTTGTAATAAGTGCTCATGTTATGGAACTTCAGTATGACACTAGGCTTTGCTATTTTGGATGTATGCGTTGTAAGATTTGTGATGACTTGGTCTGGTGGGACAATGTTTTGTGTTTGCATCTCAGTACTTCAATTATTTGATTTGGACATGCCTCTCACTTGTGCCCTTCCTCCCATGGACTGTCCCAAAGGAACAGTAGTTGTTACTCCTCATTAGCTTATGGCTAGAGAATGGTCCATTTTGAACTGAAACATAAGGGGAATCAATGATCCCAAGAAATGGTCAGCTATTCACAATAAGATTGAAGAATCACAGTGCACCATCCTATGCTTGCAAGAAACTAAAAGAGAAAACTTTGACAGTTCATACATAAGAAATTTCTTTCCCAGGAGATTAAACAAATTTGAATTCCTTCCATCTGTGGGAGCTGCAGGAGGTTTGTTAGTTGTCTAGAATGAGCAGGTCCTCAAGGATCACCTATATCACAGTAATGAGTTTGCCCTTACTATTCAATTCACATCTGCTCACACTGGGGAGAGATGGTCTCTTTCCAATGTTTACGGACCTTGTCAGTGATAGGAAAGAGCAAACTTTTTAGACTGGGTCAAAGACTTTCAGGTGATAGATTGTCCTAATTGGCTGGTGACAGGGGATTTTAACTACATTAGATACCCACATGACAGAAACAAAGATGGTGGCAATATTTCATATATGCTTGCTTTCAATGAAGCTATTAGTAATCAAGCACTGATTGAGATCCCACTTAAGGGAAGGAAATTCACTTGGAGTAATATGCAGGATGCTCCCCTACTTGAAAAGCTTGATTGGTGCTTTACTACTGAAGAATGGACACTTAACTACCCGACTACTTTTACTCATCCACTGGCCAGAACTACTTTTGATCATATTCCCATCTTGATCAAAATTGGGACATCTATTCCTAAATCTCAGATTTTTAGGCTTGAGAACCATTGGCTGCTTCATAATGATTTCAAAGATCTTGTCTCTAGGATTTGGACACAAGAGGTTCCACTATTGGATAGTGCCAAGAGGATTGCAATCAAGCTCAAAAGATTAAGGAAAGGGATCAAACTTCGGGCTAGAGATAAATCTGATTTCAAAAAGATCATTGAAAACTCAAACTTCATGATCTTTGGTTATGATAGTATTGAGGAATTCAGACACTTGAGTCTAATTAAAGCTAATGGGAGGGCTATTATCAAAACACATCTTGAGGAAATCCTAGATCACCAGAGACTATACTGGAAACAGAGAGCTACCATTAGGCAGATTAAGGTGGGAGAGGCAAATACTAAATATTTTCAGGCCAAGGCAACCATCAAATTCAGACATAATAGTATTTCAATATTAAAGGATGAAGAAGGTAATGAGCATCATGATCACAATGCAAAAGTTGCCATCCTTTTTAGAGCCTTTAAAGAAAGGCTGGGCACTACTTCCTCTGCACAGAACCCACTTCTTTTACACCACTTATTGTTGCACCATGATGATTTGGATACTCTGGAAGCCCCCTTCACAAGGAGGAAATAGACAAAGGGATCAGAGAGATGCCCACCGATAGATCCCCTGGTCCTGATGGATTTAATGCAGCATTTATCAAGCACTGTTGGGAGATCATTGCAGAGGATTTCTGTAGACTCATTAAAGATTTTCACAAAGGAACTGTCAACCTACAGAGCATCAACTATTCATTTATCACCTTGATACCCACAATAGATTCAACATCTCCACCTGCAGAATTTAGATCCATTTCCCTCCTCAACTTCACATTGAAGATTATCACTAAGCTATTGGCTAACAGGTTGCAGAAAATTATTCTTCAAATGATTCATAAGAACCAGTATGGTTTTCTCCACAAGAGATGCATTTGGGACTGTCTTGCATGGGGATATGAATATATTCATCAATCCCAACAATCCAAGAAGGAGATAATACTTTTGAAATTGGATTTTGAAAAAGCATTTGATTGCTCAATCACGAGACTCTCATTGATATCCTGAGAGCAAAAGGATTTGGAGATAAATGGATTAAGTGGATTAGAATGATCTATGGCACTGGTTATTTATCAATGTTGCTCAATGGCATTCCTGGTAAACAATTCCTCTGCAAAAAAGGGGTCAGGCAAAGGGACCCACTTTCCCCATTAATCTTTGTATTGGCAGTTGATTTACTTCAAACCATGATGAATGAAGCCATGCAGAAATCATTGGTCAGCTCTCGCCTTCAACACCATTCATGTCCTGACTATCCTATCATTCAGTATGCAGATGATACCATTTTAGTGGTCAATGCTGAGGCACAACAACTCACTCACATCAAAAGTCTTCTGCTACATTTTGCTGCATACACTGGGCTCAAGGTGAACTACTCTAAATCCTCCATGCTCTCCATAAACACTCCTGATACTAAGATGCAAGAACTTTCTGAGCTGATGGGATGTAATATTGGAACCTTACCTCACACCTATCTTGAATTACCTCTCGGCACTACCAAACCCAAAGTTATTGATTATTTGCCAATGTTGAGGAAGATTGAAAATAGATTGCTGAGCTGCTCCACACTGCTCTCCACTGGTGATAAGCTTACATTACTCAAATCAGTCTTCACAAGCATGCCCACATTCTTCATGTGCACCCTATCTTTGCCTAAAACAGTGGTTAAACAAATCAACATTTATCTCAAACAATGTATTTGGAGAAAATATGGCACTCGAGGCTGGGACACCATTAATCACATGGGACAAGGTATGCAAACCAAAGGAATATGGGGGACTAGGAGTTCTAGACATTGGCACTCATAACCAAGCACTCTTGATGAAGTTTCTTCACAAATTCCTCAACAGAGAAGATATCCCATGGGTGCATATTATATGGGAAACATACTACCAAGCTGCCTTGCCAGGGGATAGGATAGTAGGATCATTTTGGTGGAAAGAGATTTGCAAACTTCTGCCAGATTACAAGAGACATGCCATTTGTAAAGCAGGGGTGGGAGACACGGCTCTATTTTGGCCTGACAATTGGTCGGGTAGACCTCTTTCACTCACATACCCTGAGCTTTTCTCATTTGCCATTGAAGAGCAGATCTCATTGTCACAGCCTCACAGGTGGTGGAACACCAGGACATCAGTCATCTTTTTCATAGACCTCTGTCATTACAGGCATACCAACAATTCAATGCTTTGGCTCAAGACCTTAACTCTAGAGGGATAAGCAATAATCAAGATAGATGGCATTACTCCTGGAACTGTAATCACTATTCTTCCATGAGGATGTACCAAGCCCTTAAAGAAACGGAGATTCATCATAACATTTTCAAGCTCATATGGGGCTCCTCCTGTAGACTCAGGCATAAGATATTCTTCTGGATGCTCTATCAGGACAGATTGAACACAAGAAATTTGCTACACCGTAAGAGCATGTACCTGCCAGATTATAATTGTGCACTCTGTTCTCATCATAGTGAAGAAACTTCTCTTCATCTATTCTGGGATTGTCCATTTGCCATGGCATGCTGGGAATTAATCATACCAGATAAACATAGAGGGGTATCACCACATGATGAGATCTTGCTAGCCCTATGCTCATTGCCATCAGAGATTGCATTTGAGATAATCATCATGAGCTGCTGGAGCATTTGGTCGGTCAGAAATGACAAAATCTTTAGATCAACACCACCTCATTTCAATACATGGAAGTTCTATCTCAAGGAGGGTTTATGGGCATCAGAATTGAGAGCTAAAGCGAAGAAGGCAGATAGGATCAGGACCTGGATATCTCAGATGTTAGGACCAGAATAATATTGTTTTCATATGATACCTAGAACGGGCATTGGTTAATTGTACTTGAGACTTTGTTTTTATTCTTTTTATTTATATATGAAAATACCGTAGAACAATTGTTCTACGGTTTCGGCTAAAAACCAGTTAATCTGAATTAGCCCTTTGCCACTCCCGCTTGTTCCGCGGGAGTCTCATCACCTTCCTTATATTTATTGAAAAGAAGGTTAGAACCCTCCGATCTTTGTACCATTGTATGTAATGCACACATACAATTTTATTACAGTAGTTATTAAGTCTATACAGTTATGTGCAAGTCTGCATGGTGTTTGGTCACAAGCCCCAACGTCAATACATTTTTTTGGGAGTACCTAGGACTCATTTAGATGAGACATAATTTGATCTCATTCAGTTTGAAAACAAGAACAGATACAACCCATGTCAGCACACACGCATCTTATAGCATCACATACGATGGCTATAAAAGGTGAATGAGACCAAATTATATCTCATCTAGATGAGTTCTAGCAAAACTGTTTTTTTAACAACTCAAACGTCAGTGCTTTTATTTTTGCGACTAAACGTCGATGCTTTGCTGTGCACATAGGCGGAGCTAGAGGAAGAGGAGAAACACGACGACGCCCGAATCCCAAACAGATCCACGGGTCAAATCTGTGTCAAACGCACCTCTCCATCGCCCGGGCCGGCCATCATCGGCCATTGCAACCTTTGAACGTCCCAAAGCTCCGTGGTGGTTCCCCGGCGATCCCAAACAAGACTATTTCCCCCCTTTCGTGTCCAAAAAGCTCACCTGCCCCCTCAGCTTGGCAATCGATGGCAAAGTTTTCTGATGACCTGATGTAAAAGGCCCGGACCCCTTTTATAAAGCCAAACATTATTCTTGGCCTTTTGGGCACACGTGATTCCCTCTTTTTGTACCATGGATTAATGCACGGCCGGCAGCATCGTGGTATATGACCCGAGTTGCAAAATACCACACCATTTTTACAACATTATATGGGCCTGGTTTGGACGGCGGGCAGTGTTGAAAATACAGAGGGAGATGAAAGTGTCTATAGCCAGTGCAGCCCTAGTTTGGCTTTGTGCCCCAAATACGAATGCCTCCAAGGTTTATATGAGATGCTGGAACTAAAGTATGATCAGCATATAG